TCTATTTAGCAATTATTCTTCTGCAAATGATATGTTATTAACAGATGCATAGGATTTATATGTGAACAAAAGGACTTTCAAAAGCTCATGGAATAACTCCATTATCTTTTAATTATATTTTTCCATTTTGAAGCCCCCTTACACATATATAAAACCTGTGTGAGTATGGATATGTATCACAATTTACTCATTATCCTCTTGATGAACCTTTAAATTGTTTAGAGTTTTACGCTAATAAGCTTTCCCCCTGTGGTTTGTAATGTTAACACAGTCATCTATCACGTTTCCCCTTAATGTCTGGATATGCTTTGAGGTTTGTACACAATTGTACACTATTGGTCCATTTTCTATGTCTCTCTGTTTTAATGAAAATAAAGCATTTTAACATAAGAGGTTAAAAACTGCCAGACAGATTTTAGGCTTCATCCTCTTATAAACAAGTTAACCCTTCTAAGCCTCAATTTCCTAATTTGTAGAGTAGTACCTACCTTACTGGATTCTGAAGATATGGTATTAAAATTATCCTTATAAAAAGCATGTAGCACAGTACCTGGTAAATAGCAAATGCTTAATGAATGCTAGTTAACAATATTTAATGGCTGCATGACTGCATTGTATAGGTGGCCCATAAGCCTATTTTCAAAGTTCAGCATATGTCTGATTTTTCACTCTAAGGATTAAATTACACATGTAAAGTGCAAAGGCGCTTGCCTGACACATAGTCAGCACTCAGTAAAGGTGGCAGTTGTGAGGTACAGTCAAGTCGGTCTGACTCACAGCAACCCTAAGAACAACAGAATGAAGCACCCCCTGGTCCTGCACCATCCTCACAATTCCTGTGATAGTGGAGCCCATTGTTGCAGCCAGTGTGTCAATCCTTCTCATCAAAGGTCTTCCCCCTTCCCGCCCTCCCTCGACTCTGCCAAGCATGATGCCATTTTCAAGGGGCTGGTCTCTCCTCATTACATGTCCAAAAGTATGTGAGACAAAGTATCCCCATCCTCATTTTAAAGGAACATTCTGGCTGTACTTCTTCCAAGACAGACTTGTTCCGTCCATGGTACTTTCAATAGTCTTTGCCAGCACCACTTGTCAGTTTGTTGTTCTGTGGTGACTTGTGCATTGCTGATGCTAGAAGCCATGTTACCAGTATTTCAAATACCAGCAAGATTATGAAGAAGGAATAGGCTGTCCACTGAAAAAAATGTATGAACAGCAGGAAAGGTTAGTGTTGATAAATAAACAGCCTTGCATATAGTCTTGATTATTTCCTTAGGCTACATTTCTAGGAAAAATGTATATCTTTATGGGAACAGATCGCCAGGTCTCTTCTCCCAGAGCTACTAGGTGGGTTTGAATCACCAATCTTTCAGTTAGCAGCTAAGTGCTTAACCACTGCACCACCGGGCTCCTTTAATATATACCTGCTGGTGCCAGGCCATCACCCCCTTGTGCTCCAGCCCATAATTCTGCTAGTGCTACCCCTCACACACGAGGCGATTTTGATCAGTTTGCTTCTTCAAGCAGTTACTCTAGCTCCTATGATACCACTCTAACTGTCTTCCTTTCACTGCTGTTGTTACATGCCATCAAGTTGGTGCTGACTCAAAGTGACCCTAAGTACAACAGAACAAAACACTGCCCGGTCCTGCACCATCCTCACAACTTGATGTTTGAGTCCTTTCTTATCGCCACTGTGTCAATCCACCTCATGAAGGATCTTCCTCTTTGTCACTGTCTTTCTTCTTTACCAAGTATGGTATCTTTTTCAGGGACTTGTCTCTTCATGGGTCCAAAGTGCATGAGACGAACTCTTGCCATCCTCCCTTCTAAGGTGGTATTCTGGCTGTACGTCTTTCAAGACAGATGTTTGTTCTTCTGGCAGTCCATGGTACTTTCAGTATTCTTTGCCAACACCATAGTTCAAATGCATGGGTTCCTCTTCAGTCTTCCCTGTTCAGTGTCCACCTTTCACATGTAGCAGAGGCGACTGAAAATGCCATTCCTATCACTGTGATCTATGGCTTTTGCACTCTTTCCCCGGGAAACAGATGCCACCCAAGCTTTAGCTTTTTCTCCTACTCTCTGTTTTTCTATTACTCTGAAAGTTCATCCCCTTGGGGATTCCATCTTCCACTTGGACAGAGAAGTTCTCAATCTGTTCCCAAACCTCCTTCCAAAATCATCCGGTACTTCCAAATAACTGCAAAATTTTAATTATTAATTTTTCCCTCACCT